TGGCACAGAAATAGGCAGGTAGACCAATGAGAACAGAAAATAGAACCCAAAAATAAATCCTGAAACATACAGTCAGCTGATCCTTGACAAAGCACACAAGACAATCCAGTGGGAAAAAGAAAATCTCTTCAGCAGATGGTGTTGGGAGAACTGGATATCAACCTGCAGAAGAATGAAACTGTACCCTTATCTGTCACCACAAACAAAAATCAACTCAAAATGGAAGATCTCAACATAAAACCTCAAACTATAAAAATACTGGTGGAAAACACAGGAAAACTATTGGCGACCTTGGAGTAGGCAAAGATTTCTTAAAGGAGACCCCCAAAGCATAGGCATTAGTCCCCAAAACAGACGAATGGGACTATATTAGACTGAGAAACTTGTGTGCAGCTAAAGAAACAATAAGTAGAGTGTGAAGATAGCTCTCAGAGTGGGAGAATATATTTGCAAACTATACCTCAGATAAGGGACTGATAACCAGAATATACAGGGAAATCAAGCATCTTATCCCCTCAAAATAATCAATCCAATTAAAAGATGGGAAATGAGCTGAATGCACAATTCTCTTTCATATGTAGAGCATATGAAAACATGCTCTACATCTCCTATCATAAGAAACATGCAAATCAAAATCATGTTGAAGTACCACTTAACCCCAGTCAGAATGGCTAAAATTTAAAAAATAAAGAATAATAAGTGCTGATGGGGCTGTGGTGAAAAGGGAACTCTCCCTCACTGTTGGTGGGAAAGTAAATTAGTGCAACCACTTTGGAGAACAATATGGAGATTCTTCAGAAACCTATGAAAGAAATATCATACAACCCACTAATTCTACTCTTTAGGATTTATCCAAAAGATAGGAAAACCCTCAGTTGAAAAGACACTTGCACATCCATGTTTATTGTAGCATTATTTACAATTACTAGGACATGGAATCAATCCAAATGTCCAAAACAGGCTAGTGGATTGAAAAAATGTGGCATATGTGATCTATGGAATACTACTCAGCTTTAAAAAGCAATGAGACCCTGATATTTGATACAAGTGGATGAATATGGAAGACTTAATCCTAAGTGAAACAAGCCAGACTATGAAAGACAGACACTGCATGTTGTCCCCACTCAATGTATACCGAATGTCTGTGTTCTGTAACAGAAAGTGAAAGTTTGGAAGGTATAAGAGCAGGGCGGGCAACTGTAGATACTAGAGATAGTAAGGGAGGGGGAATGGGAGTAGGTTGTAGGTGGAGGGAGAAGGGGAACAGGGAAAGAAACAAACAATATGTTTAACTGACAAAAAAAGACAAATTATTTGCTGATGATAATATGTATGGTAACATCTTTCTTTTGACTGATACGTACAGTATTTGTGCTGGAAAAACCATCATGTATATTGTAAAAAATGTATAGTAATTAGATGTAAATTAAACACACACACACACACACAATCTAAAAAAAATTATCAGCAAGCATGTGCATTTATCAGAGAGAAACAGACAGAAAGAAAGGGAGAGGGAGAATGCACTCCCCCCAGTGGGGCATGGTCACCCTCCTCCTTCACTTTTCCATCCTGTTGTGATTTTGGGTATGCATGCACACAGACCAAGTATGTTTTCCAAGTTACCAGGCCTAGAATTTGAACTATAGGGTCAGCCATATGAGATCCATATGGATCCCTTAACCATAAAGCCATGGGGCTGGCCTTGTAAATTTTATCAAATGAAATTATCTTTGCCTATAGAGTTAGTCTTCTCTAGAGCAGTAAAGTAACAGGCTACTAGGTCCTATTTATTTGTTGTTGTTGGTGGTGGTGGTTGCATATTCTTTTTTTCCATTAATTAATAAGTATTTTTGGATGCATCTTTTATGGTACTATTCTGGGTTCCTGGGAATACTAAACTGGATAATAGGTTGCTCTTCCCCCAAGAGGCTCAAAATGTACTGCACAAGAAATACGTAAGTGAAGTAGTACACTACAGTGGCTTGACAAGTGCTCCCATGAATGTGCCTGCACTTAGGTAGACTAATTTTCAAGAAGGTAGCTCTATTAATGAGGATAGGTTAAAACAATAGTATCCAAGAAGCATAAAATACCACTTATGTAAACAAGATGCTTTATTCTTCTTTAAGTAAAAGTTTGGAGGCTTCAGACTGGGTTTGGTGTGCGAGCTCTGTTCCTCTGTCTTGCGCCTACTCATAGCTGAGCTATCCCTAGGTTGTGGCCCCATTCCTCAGAGTCCAACTAAGCATCTACTCTTATGGAAGCAGGATGGAGGACGGGATGAAAAAGGTGCACAGGGCTGTCTCTTTAAAGAAGATTCCAGAATGTGGCCTTAGCATATCCATGACATCCCATCTGTTAGAATAGAGTCACAAGGTCACATTTAATGCAACAGAGCCTGGCAAATGTAGTATTCATTCTCATCAACCATTTGCTAAAATTTCTATTACCAGAGAAGAAGAGGAAAATAGATTTTTAGGGCCAACTGTCTGATTTTGCCAGTTATTTCTTTAGTTAACTTGTAAGTAGAGGAATTGCTAGTTTAGAAGCTGTGCTCATTCTCCAGGTTTTGGGGGTGTACTGATAAATTTCCTTTCAGAATCTCTGTACTTGTTTATACCCCCAATGACACACATGAATACTTAGCATAAACAATGTCATACTAATCAGTAAGTTCCTTCAGTGTTTACTACAAGGCTCAGCTGCTGGGAAGATGTGATAGAAAAAGCACTCAGTGATTGATGGACCAGGGCTTTATTGCCAGGACTCTTTCAGTTGTAGGTGACAGATGACCTACTAATAGTGTTGAACTGAGGTGTTTTAGTAAATTAAGAGAAAAAGAACTGAATTGCATATGCTAAATCTGAAGCTGGAGAATTAAAAGGATAATTCTTCTGAAGGGGATATGAGGGGTAGATTATGTAGGTATTTGTAAAAATGTTAAGGACTGAAGAGATAATATCTAGTGTAATATGATGTCCCCGTACTGTCAGTGGGAGGGCTTTTATATCTACCACACATTTCAGGCAGTGTCCTAAGTGCTTTACATACATTCTCATCGAATCCCACAGTAATCTGATAGGAGTATGTTTTTTACATCCATATTTTACACATGATGAAGCGAAGCTTCAAGAGAGGTCAAGTTAGGGCTAGAGCTAGAATTTAAACTCCATGCTGTCTGATTTCAAAGTTTTCTCTTTTCTTCCCTACTCTTACAAGTGAACTGATAAAATATTTTGGCGAGGAGAATACTTTTTCTGTATCATTTAAAGATTTAAAAAGACACATTATAAAATATTTAAAAATATACAAGTATTATAGAGAACAATAAGTAAAGTACTGCAAAGGAGAAGAAGGACCTCATGAGATTTTTGTCTCTTCCAGAGGTCTTTTTCCAGTCTGGGTTGGCTGCCAGCTCTTCCTTTCTCATGCTGTCCTGTGTTCATCTTAAGACAGTTTATTCTAGTCTGTTCTCTGTTGTTTCATAATTGAATACCTAAAGTCAAGTAATTTACAAAAATGGAGGTTTATTCAGATCAGAATTAGGACATTGAGGGGCTACATCTGGTGGTGGCCTTTTTGCTGAGCCTCGAAGTGACCAAGGACATTACACAGCAAGACAGAGCAAGAACGGATATGTATGTGTGTCCATCTCATTCTCTTTCCTTATAAACCTGCCAGGATTTAGTCATGGGAGAACCAGCCTGATGACCTTAATTCTAATCACTGCCCAAAGGTCCCACCTTTTAATCCCAAAAGTGAATTAAGTTTTCATCCTCTTAATACTGCCACAATAGGAGTCAAATGTAAACTCATGAATTTGGGGGGAACACATTCAAACTATAGCACAATTCTTATCTTTATTGTGGTTATCTATTTACTTTGTTGCTTCCATTACCAAACTTATGTCTTGAGTGCCAGGTATAAGGTCTTCCATATCTTTGTATCCTCAGGACCTGGCACAATATCTGGAATATAGTAGATGCCCAGTAAATATTCGCTGAATGATTTATATGGGCATTATTTTATGGCCATATTTATATGTATTGAAGAGAATTTTTTAAAAAAAGAATTATTTATTTAATTCCACTTGTTATCATTATTATTATTTTTTAATTTGATGAGAGAGACAGAGAGAGAGGGAAAGGGAGAAAGCAAGCCACCAGGTCCAAGACTCAAACCACAGTTGGCCATGTGAGAATCCGGTGCCTTTAACTACCATGCCATCTGCCGGCCCCTTAAGAGAAATTTTACCAGTTTACTGTGATGCCAAAGTTTAAGAGGTATACAACTACATGAGTGCAAAATTATGATTCTGACCATGGCTATAAACAAAATGTTTACAAGGCAATTGAACCTGTGAATAATACTGAGGGCCCACAACATGCAAAGCTTCTCTGAGTGTTTAAGATTTTATTATTTATTCAATTTTCACAAAAACCTCATGCAGGAAATAAAATGCTCTCTACTTCAAAAGTAGAGAAATTGATACAAAATCAGGACACGAATCAAAGTAGTGCTATATTGACTGAAGCGTCATTATTTACTAGCTGTTTATCAGAGTTCCCTCCCCCGCCCCATGATTCCATAGTATTTATCTTAATGCAAACTCAAAGATCCTTATCCTCTTGCTTTCTGTCCACCGGAATTCCTTTCAGTCTGCGGAACAGACTCTCCCCAACAGGAACTCTAAGTATCTTGGGAAGCTGTTGCCACACAACCCACAAAACCGATGAGTAATTTGCTATCACCATTTGTTCTTTCTTCCCTTAATAACCAAGGTCTCATATTTTAGTTAATCACTTTCCCCTAAACACGTCCAAGTGCACCTCCTAGGTGGTTTCTGCGCTGCAGGGCCTCCCTGGCGCCCACACACCGGCGTCTTTGCAGACGCAGCCCCGCAGCGTTCTCTCCGGAGAAACTACACTTCCCAGCTGTCTGTTCGAGGCCGGGACTCATCCCGCGGCACCGCGGAAACCAGAAAACGTAGTGTGGGGCTGTGTGGGTGGCAGGAGCGCAACGCGCCCTGGCCAGGCCTGCCCTCGCTCGCGCACCCAAAAATGGCTCGGAGACAGGACGAGCAGCGAGGGGGCGCGCCCTTGATGGCGGAGGGCAAGTCCGACGCGGAGGTTAAGCTCATTCTGTACCACTGGACGCACTCCTTCAGCTCTCAGAAGGTACCGGCCCCGGCGGCCGAGGGAAGCGGCGCGGATCGGGTTTCAGCACCGGGACAGCTCCCCCAGGGTCCCACCCGGGTCGCCGGTTCTGAGTCAGGCCTCCAGCGTCTCAGCCCCAGATGTGCTCTCTGCAGAGCAGGGATGCACATGTGGGGAGCGGGGGCACGCAGTCTAAAATGGGCAGGTGGCGACCCAGGCCCTCGCTCCTGAAATGCGACACAAGACCGCCCCCTGCGCCTTCGGTGTGCTGGAAGGCCTCGCCTGGCCGGCCTTGGAAAGGGAAGCAGAGGGCAGCGACCCTACAACCGCATAACCTATGGGTTCTGTCTTTTGCTTTGCCTTTCATTCAGATTCTGAACAAAACCGAAAACACTAACTCAAAGTCCAGAAAGTCTGCTTTGCGGTGTTCAGGGAAGTCTCTTAATTGATAGCTTAAATGCGTTGTCGTAACCGGTGTGAACTCTTCCAGGTGCGCTTGGTAATTGCTGAAAAGGCTTTGAAGTGCGAGGAACATGATGTAAGTCTGCCCCTGAGTGAGCACAATGAGCCTTGGTTTATGCGTTTGAACTCAACTGGAGAAGTGCCTGTCCTTATCCACGGGGAAAACATAATTTGTGAGGCCACTCAGATCATTGATTATCTTGAACAGACATTCCTGGATGGTAATGTTAAGGCTATTTGTGATTTCTTGGATTTACTTTCTTTTCTTTCCTTTTTTCCCCCCTTAGATTTACTTTCAATACAAATATGTGTCTGTCTACAACCTACCTCTCTTCCTCCCTTCCCACCCTGCCTCCTTCCTTCCCTTTCTTCTCTCTTTTTTTCTCTTCTTTTGGTTTCATGATGATGGTTTAGTGCTTAAAAACCTTTTCCATTTCCATAAGCACACAAATAATAAAGTAAGTCAATAGCATAAATATTTTGTAAGCCAATATGACTTTATTTAAAATAATTCCATGTAAATTACAAACGTTGATGTCGAAACTTTCCTTTTACATTCGCTTGTTAAAGAGCCTGCAAATGTGCAGTCTGCTATGGTAATTTATTAGCCTTAAAATCAAATTGATATTGATTCTAAGTATACATTATAAAAATAAACTTTTTATCTAATATACCAAATGATTCTATCTAAAGAACAAGAAATGGAATAAATCTTAAACAAGAGCAAATAGGATGTTAGCTTGAGTTCTTTGCCCCAGCTGCTTCCGTATGGCTTGAGTTTTGTCTTTCCTAAAGAGTTATAGGCTTTAATATGTGCAGTGCTTTTTAGGTAATAATTATTTATTGACAGCTTATTATGGGTCAGATATTTCATGATTTCTATTCTATTTAGTCTTCAAAAGAATACATCTGAGAAAGGCAAGGTAGACTAGTTACTTCCATTGTGTGCAGAAGCAAAGAGAAACAAGGTTGCCCAATATCATACAGCTATTTTATGGCAGTCTGGTCTCCAGAGCCTTCATACTACACCAACTGTGACTCACAGTCTTTGCTGCCACTTACCCATTGTGTGGCTTGTACCTTATGACAACCCTTTGAGGTGAATTGTAGCCTCCATGACTTGTCCAAGATTATCAGCTGATCATAGGCAGAGCTGAGAGCAGAACACCAGCCTCCTCACTCTCAGCAGAGCACTCCTCTAAGAGAAGCTACCTGAGATCCAATTATGCCTCCTCTGCCACCAGTTATGTTGATGTTCATTGGATAAGATGAAATCAGAATATAAACTCAAATTATAGGAAGCTGAGAAAGGAAATGATACCAGGTCCCCAAATGTCTGAGCTACTGTACTTAGAAGAAAAATGGGTATGAGACCTAAGTGGGGGAGGTGAGAGAGGGGTAGTTCAGGGATTAGAATAGCAGTGGGCTGTCTCTATGCTTTTTTTTTTTTTTTTTATGGAAGAGGGTTATCCCTATTCTTAATCCAAGTGTTAGTTCTCTAGGGTTCTGATTATAGGTTTTATTAATGGTGGTTTAGGACTAAACTGAACAGCTTAGTGAACTATTGAATACTTTCTCCTCACTATTGCTTAATATCTCCAAAATTTAAACCCTAGGGACTGTACTCAAAATGATTTGATTTAAGACAATTTTTCTCAACCTTGAGCTTTTTGGAAATGGATAAGTCTGTTAATAATAATTTGTATTACTTGGGAGAAGTGAATATAATGTGAACAAAAAATAAATAATGGTGTTAAGAGTTATATTTTAAATGATAAAAAATTTAAAAAAGCATAATAAATGGAAATTATATTTAAGTCTTTTGTTAATATTGCTTGAACTACTGCTACTAGTATCAACATTTTCTTCCACCCATTCCTCTTCCTTTTCTCCTTAAACTGTTTTCCCTCTATGAAATTTAGTAATCTAAAATATGATACTTTACACTATGGTAATGTTTCTGATTATTAGGTTTTCTTCAAATTTTCCTTACTAGGTTTTTCTTTTTCTTAAATGTCCCCTTTTACTTTTATTATGTAATAAAACTAAAATAAATTCCAAGTCCTGTTAAGCTATATTTAAATAATCAAACATGAGAAATACCAAGTTATTCTTTTGATGATTATTTATTAAAGTCGAAGGGAAAACACTGAGGACTAAACAGTAGGATGGAAATACGGAAACTAGAAGTTTATTTTTGTTGAGTTATGTTAATAAATTAGCAATCAAGAGTTTAGTCTAATATGCCACCAACTTGTTGAATATCTTTGGTTACTCAATTTCTCTGCCTTTTGAGTTAGGTGACACTTAGTTTTGTAAGTTGCACAGATAAAACAAGTCCAACCAACTCTTACTGTACTTTTTTTCTAAAATAGTAGTCATGTAATTAGAAATGATTTTTAAAAGATTAATATAAGGAACCTAAATTTTATGATAGATTTGAAGATAGCAAGAGAACAATAGTTAAATAAATCAAAGTTACTGCAATGTACAGTCAAGATGACGTTCATCTTAAAGTTTTGAAAATAAAAAAAGATCAAAACAGATTTGGTGTTTTTATAGTTATAATCGTGATACTTTTAAAGAACCATGGCAAGGGTCAGGTGGTGGCACAATGGTGACACAACATTCTACAATGCTGGATTCATGTGGGAAGGGCTTGGGTTTGTGTTCCAGGGACTCCCTGTACACATGGCTGGCTGAGATTGGGGTTCGATCATGGTGTGAAGACTGTTAGATTGCCTTTCTCTCTGTGTATCTCTTTTTCATGGATATAATGTAAACTAAAATAAAAAAGCAAAAACAAAATAAAACTCATGGGCAATAGGAAAAGAGACAGATCTGAGATAGATAAATGTTTTCCCAGTTATAAAAGAGAAGGAAAGATGAATTCTCCCAATTCTTGCTTTTTAGAATGTGTTCTATCTCCCAGAAGCATTGACATCCCCTGAGAACTTATTAGAAAATGCAGTCTAGCCCAGCCATAGTAGCACAGGCACAGGCACTAGGGGGCCGTTCTGCAATGGTGGAGCCATATGGAAGGCCAGGGTTTGTATCCCAGGTTGACCTGAAATGTACCAGGCACCCATGACTTGGTTGGCTGGAAGGTCTTCTTAGTGTTAGGGGATCATGGGAAAACAGGACCTTGTTGAGCATGCCTATTCTATTTGTTTCCCTCTCAAGAAATGGAAACTTAAAAAAATAAAAAGAAACACAAGTCTTAGACCTGGTTACAGATCTATTGAGTTAGAACCTTTTTTTTTTTTTTAAGAAATTCTTTTTTTTTTTTTTAAGAAATTCTTTTTTTTTTTTTTAAGAAATTCTTTTTTTTTTTTTTAAGAAATTCTTTTTTTTTTTTTTAAGGAATCACTTTATTTATTTTCAATTTGACCAGAGAGGGACAGAGTGAAAAAGGGAGAGAGCGAAAGTGAGAAAGCCAGTCACCAGGGACTCAAACCATGGTCGACCATGTGGTAGTCCAGTGCCCTTAACCACCACGCCACCTGCTGGCCTCAGAACCTTCAGTTTTAACAAAACTCCCAGTTCATATGTACATTAAAGTTTGAATTTATTGTTATAAATTATTGTCTTTAAATCTGGCAGAATTCTAGAATGGATTGTCAAAGGTTTTTAAAAATACTATTATTAATTTTTGAGCATCTCAGTAGAAGGAACCAGCTTACATTTTATACTGGTTGTGAATGTCACCAACACCTTTAAACAATGTGTCTATTATGTGCCAGACATGGTTCTAGATATAGCGTATCCTGATATATCAGCATGTTGTGAAGTGATTATGTTGTTGGATGCCCACATGGCCAACCATGGTTGGAGTCCTAGACCTGGTGGCTTCAAAATCACACTGGGTGCATGTGCATGTGTACTCAAGATCCTGGGAGGAAAATGGAGGAGAAGGGATTGCAGCATGGCCATTCCCCCTGGAAGGTGATTGGTGATTTCTCACCTTCCTTCTCACAGTGTCTTCCCCTCCTCTTTCTGGTGAATACACAGGCCCTAAGGCAAAAGCCTCTAAAAAAATAGAATGAAAAAACCCCACCTATATCCCTAACATTTCCTATAGTGAATATTCTTCAGTACTACTTACTAAATACTTTTGAGTAATTAAAATAAAATGAATGAATTATTAAAATAGCTGTCAACCTATATGGGGTCTCTAGTGGTGTTCTTAAAGACTTTTATTCTCTGACTTGACTCTAACAATTCCATAAATGAATACAGACATAGAAGAAATACATTACATTTGTCAATGACTGAAAAACTGGGGTAACTAAAATGATCAACGTATGAAATGTCTCCTATTGAACAATAATAAAATAAGATAAAGTTTAACAAGGCTAAATATAACATGTAAATTTTATTTTAAAAAAAATCAGCTTCATTAAGAAAGGATGGTGGAACCAGCAGGAGGCGTGGTGGTTAAAGGTGCTGGATTCCCACATGGATGACCACAGTTTGAGTTCTGGACCTGGCAGCTTGCTTTCTCACTTTCTCTCTCTCTGTCTTTGGTCAAATTAAAAAATAATAATAATAACAAATAGAATTAAATAAATGAATAAATTTCTTTTTTTAAAAAGAAAGAATGGGAGACTTGGTTGGTATTAAGTTGTCAGTAATAAAACAAAAGTCCAGTGTGACCTCAGGTTGTTTTAAAAGTGTCGGTTCTGTCTAGAACTGGGTAGTTGTAAGTCTGCATTCTGAGCTGGCTGGAAGAGTCAGCACTTTGTCTATTTCCGGATGGAACTTTGAGGAATGCTGACTAATTAAAATAAGTGGATGGATTTCAAGAGGTGCATAGTTGTCCATGGTTGTAATAGGAGACTGGAATTAAGTGTAGCTATTCATCTGAAGAACAGAATGTAGAAAACTGGCATCTCCCATTAATTTACTCTTTGTCAGTTGGGGATTGTACTATAAATGATGACTTGCTGACCTGGAGACATTTCTCAGCCTTTTTGTGTATTAGTATTTACTTTCGAGTGGTTTTGGGATAGCCCATTAAATAATTGGTAGTTTAGGAGCAGAATTTGAAAACCAAAGTAACTCTTTTCAAGTCTTAACCTGAAATAGTGAATATCTAAGTTGGATAATTACTGTGTTCTTTCTTTCTTTCTTTTTTAACGGTTATATGGAAGAATGGTGTGAATATCAGTGATATTCCTGAGGGGTTAACATGAATCAAAGGAGAATTTAGAAGTGTTCA